GGACGGGGCCAAACAACACTCCCGTTGACAAAGTGTTTGCAAGATTAATAACTGTTTGGGGCATAAATGTGCATGTGATGTTGGGACGGGCTTTGTGTGTACATCTTGTAGGACAACTGAAAAAATATAGTACATTCATCGTGATGCATACACATGTCATATTATATAGAGTATTGTTTTTTAGCATACTAGTTAACATTAATGCACTGTACATTACGTATTGTATGTATTAGCAATTGTAATTGGTGTTGTAGAAGATAGCACGGGCTTGAGCAATCCCATACCCTTCCACATGCCAAGGTCATCATGATGGCTTCAAGAGGGTCTTAGAATGGTTCTTCCGAAATTCTGAATGGGATAAAAGATATCATTCCACATCTTCACCAACAGCATCAATGCTATCAGAACTGACCTCACCGAAATACTATTAGTGTAGACAGATTGCACAGTTGTGCTGCCAATCTTTTTTCAAGCTCCTATGATATCAGAATTGTGCATTTGAAATATTCACATAAGGAATGTCATTAACGAGCAGGGTTGATGGCACACGCACCTAGGAGGGGTGGGGAAGATGTAGAGAAGGGGGGTGAAAGGGTGGGTTCTTTTGTGAGTGGACTCAAAGAAGTGCTGTGGGTCCAACCCGGATGGGGAGTTAGGGAGATTAGGAATGGGAAGGGGAGGGAAAGTGAGGCAGAGGCTCACAGCAGAGGCGGAAGCAATAAGAGGGGAAAATGATGTGGTAAGGAGAAGATGCTGCAACTACACACACCTCTATCATCACAAGTGCGGGCTCCAATGCAGTCTCCACTAATGAGCTCGTGCCAGCTGGCTTGGCTGATTCTGATCCATCCACTGCAACAGCAGCAGCCTCGGTCCCATCCCCTACCACTGTCTCCTCTGCCGTGCGTTTCTTGATTCCTTCCCCTTCGCCCTCCTCCTCCCATCTCGCCCACTTCTCCCCCCTCTGGTGCTCTTCTATGTTCACACCTCCCTATTTCAGCCCTCCCTCCTCCTTCTTGGCTGTACCATTACCATCCGCAGTAGCACCATCAGCAGCCGCTGCAGCACCATCACACCCACTGAGAGCTCAGGAAGCGGCCGGACGTGACGGTGTGTAGGTTGTGCACTGTGAGGGAGAGGGGTGCGCCACCGCGCTTCACGTCGAGTGTCACGATGCCGCCTATAGCATCGTCTAGAATGGCTTCGAGTGCCAAGAACTGCGTTAGCACCTGCACAGAAGGCGTACATGGGAAGAAAAATGGAGGGGGAGGAGGGGGGGGGGGGGGGGGGGTATGGAAGGGGGGGCAGAAGGCGGGGAGAGGGCAGAGCAGAAGGGGTGATGGGAGCTAGGGAGAGGGACGAAATGGACCATTCACAGCTGGTCGCAGAATGGATAATGAGAGGGAGGCGGCAACCAAGAGAGGAAAGCAAGAGACAGATGAGGCAAGAGGAAACACAGGCTCTGCACTTCTCTATCCCCTCGTGCCACCACCGACTTACCTTGCCATTGACGCGAACGAGAACGTCTCCGGGTTCCAGCTTGTTTTCAGCAGGGCCGTCTGGCACGAGCGAGTTTACCATCAGCAGCCCCGTTTCTGCCGCCCCCGCCTCGCGCCTCACCTCCGCCTCCGCCTCGCTGTTGAATGCACGTCAGTTCGAGTGCATGTCATCCTAACGTCCTGCCGGGTGCTCGTGTTATTCATGCGTGCATTATTTGCATGTTCATATCTCATGGTGCATGACTGTTGAATATTATCATTTCTGTGTTTTCTCCCAAGTTTAAATGCTTCATCATGCGGGATAAATCCAGAGCTTTCCAACGATACCAAGATCGTCTTATATCGACCAAGATCATCCAAGTTACAAGGTTTCCAAGCTTTGGAAATTCTATCTTGAGATATTATCTGCATTGGGCGACAATTGGGACATGACCATACAAAAATCTTTGGTTTGGTGGTTAGGGAAGGCAACTTTGACTTTAAATTTGGTGTGACTAAAAGCTTCTAGCATGGGTTGCAAATGTTGCATGTGACACCTCAAGGATCTCATGATGAGGGTTGCATCCTTGCTACTAGGAAGGTTCCTAACATCCTTCCCTAGCTCTTGGAGAACCCCTTCCTTCTCATGGTTCTCTTGGAGTCCCCAATTCCAACTATTCTATTCCTTAATGCTTGTACTTCCTCCATCATTCTACTCATGCAGCTGTTGGAAATTTTCAAGTCGTTCTCACTCAATATACCATCTTTTTAAGTGATTCAAATTGGAGATGGTAGCTAAGCCTAAAGCGCACAATCCTACCGAGAGTTGAGAAATGAATTCCTCGTAAGTTCTCAAAGTGACGGATCCTGAACAACAAATGTTATTAGAGCAGGTAGTCGACTTTGAGACGATGAATCATCATCAAGTCTCAACCAATGTTGACGAGTGAGACCATATTCTAGTAGCCCTGCTTCCGAGCATTCGATTGGTTGTCGAAACGCATTCAAATTCGAAGTATCCAGTCCGCGGCAGCGAATTTAACAGAATCGATATTTATGGCTAAATTCTCTTTAAATGATTTTTCAAGTTTCCACCGTTTATAAGGCCTCAATATGACTGGTACGGACCTCGGAGGTGCTAATGGGGAGATGGCTAGAGGTAGCTGGAGAGCAAGGGGGAGTTGTTAGTGGAGGAGTGGAAACTCACCAACCAGCCAACCCAACGTTACCCTCAACTTCTACACCATCTTCTATAACCGTGGATCTTGTGAAAGTGTTCTCTATTAAGAAATTCATGGGAGAGGACTACGAGCACTAGAAATTCCGCATGAGGCTGATGCACACTAAATACTAGCTATTTGACCTGGTGGAGGGAAAGAAGAAGATGTCGAAGGTCGCGGAGCTGTTAGGAGCGTGGATGAAGCGATCGTTCGACGCGTACGCGCTCATGGTGCAAGCGGTTGGCGGACGACAACTTGACCACATCAAGGACCTCTTGGGTGATCCAGAGTGTGGCCTCAAGGCTTAGAGGAAGCTTCTGGATGTGCACTCACCGACACATACTATCGGCATCGTGCTACTCACGCGACGGCTGCGCGACATCAAGTTTGTTGATGGAGAGCCAATGCAGCCCGTATTGGATAAAATGCACGAGATCTTCACGAAGCGCCAAGACGGCAGTGTGGTGTACCCGAAACTCATGCAATGCGTGGAGATCGTGATACGGATGTCGGAGTTGTGGTGTGCCCTTGCCATCAACCTCAACTCCCAACAACCCCAATGGAGCATGGATTACATTCGGGCGTGCATCCTTGAGGAGAACTTGCGACGTCGGAGTGTGGTGCACTCGGAGGAGGGAGCTAGCTATGGAGTTGGAGGTGGAAAGAGTGGCTTCAAGAAGAAGTGGAAGGGCAAAAATAATGAATAATCTCAAGAGTAGAGCGGCTGGGGCCAAGGGGAGATGTGCTTTTACTGCAAAAAGTGCGAGCATCATTGACAGAAGTTCTACCAACGACCTAAGGATTGGACCCCACCTTCATCAAGGGGAGTGAGGGAGTCATGTGACCTAGTGGAGAGGAGAAAAGTGGCAAATATGAGGAGCGGAAGGCCGGGTTCTTCATTGTGAACGAAGGCGCAACCAACACCGCCATGGCTGCTAAGGTTCTCCTACACCCTCTCATCCATTGGGTGATTGACTCAGGAAGCTCCTGGCACATGACTTTTTGTGTGGATCTACTTGATGACATTCAGCTCACACCCATCTCTTCAGCACATCCGCGACGCCCACCAAGGCCAAGGTCATGGGCATGGGATGCACCAAGTTCATGGGAGCGGATTCACATCGGCTCGTCCTTTGTCCAAGAAGAGCGATGTTGCAGCGGCGATCAAGGAGGATTGGTTGCCGATGGTGGAGCGGCAAGCGATGCGACTGGTGAAGGTGCTGATGAGTGACCGTGGTGGAGAGTTCCTTGGAGAAGATTTCACCAAGTTTCTCAAGAGGAACGACACCCGACACCAGCTGACCTGCCCAAAACTACCGCAGCAGAACGGCGGGGAGGAATACTGTTTGACTACAGCGTCGTAAAGCGCTTTGGACGTCTTAGGCTGGGGCAAATGAGTGCGCTTGTCGGGCGGAATGTGGTTACAGACATCAAGGGCCGCAGTGGCGTCACGAGCAGTCAAAACGAACTTTCTGGTCTGCGAACTTATTAGGGGTAGCGAGGGACACGGAGGTATGCTCAAACAATGAGATATCCTTCATAGTGACGCTCTTAAGGTACCACTCTAAGTCCTCGAGCCAGTTCTCAAAATCGATCGGGTGCCCCTCAGCGTCAAAAGTTAGCAAAGTAGGAGTAGCCATAGCAGCAGTAGGGCAGTGTTGCTAAGCAAGGGCAGGGCACCGCGGCTCGGGAAGGGCGGCGCGGCTCGGTAGGGCGGTGCGGCTCGGGCAGGGCACAGCGCAGCAGCGCAGTAGCAGCAGTGGCAGCAGCGCGCTTAGCAGTCGCAGCAGCGCTTTGCAGCAGCAGCAGCGCTTTGCAGCAGCAGCAGCGCTTTGCAGCAGCAGCAGCGCTTTGCAGCAGCAGCTAGCAGCTGCAGAAGTTACAGCAGCATCAGCGCGCAGCAGCGCGGACGGACAGGGAGCAGGCCGGGTGCGCGTTGGGTGCGCGCGGGCAAGGCGCAGCTGCAGGCAGAGCGCGCGCGGGCAGGGCGGCGCTCAGGCAGGGCAGCGGGGCACGCGCGCTAAGCAGCGGGACGCGCGGGCTGGGCAGCGGGGCGTGCGGACTAGGCGGCGGGGCGCGCACGCTGGGCAGCGAGGCGCGCAGGTTGAGCATCGTGGCGCGCGGACTGGGCAGCGATGCTAGGCAGTAAATCTCGATGCGCCTAGGGCGCGTTTTGGGCAGGATAAAAACGTGACGCGCCTAGGGGCGCGATACGGGCAGGAAATAACGGTGGGCCCTTTTAAAAATCTGGTCCTAAGGACCTAATGGCTCTTAATACCATGTAAGGACCTAATATGTTAATTTATATCTTTTGATAGGGGTCGGGGCCGGGGAGGGGGGCGTGGCCGCTCCCCGCCCGCGGAGGCCGGGGCCGGGGCCGCGCCGGGGAGGGGGGCGCGGCCGCCGCCCGCCCGCGAAGGCCGGGGCCGAGGCCGGGGGCGCGGCCGCCGCCCGCCCGCGGGGGCCGAGTCCGGGGCCGCGCCGGGGAGGGGGGCGTGGCCGCCACCCGCCCGCGGGGGCCGGGGCCGGGGCCGCGCCCGGGAGGGGGGCGCAGCCGCCGCCCGCCCGCGGGGGCCGGGGCCGCGCCGGGGAGGGGGGCGCGTCCGTTGCCCGCCCTCGGGGCCGGGGCCGCGCCGGGGAGGGGAGCGCGTCCGCTGCCCACCAGCAGGGGCCGGGGCCGCGTTGGGGCCTCCCGCGGGGCCCGGGGCCGCGCCAGGGAGGGGGCTCGCCGCGGCCCGCCCCCGGGGGCCCGGGCCGCGCCTGGGAGAGGGCGCGGTCGCCGCAAGCCCGCGGGGGAGGGGCCATGCCGGGGAGGGGGCGCGGCCGCCGCAAGCCCGCATGGGCCAGCGCCGCTCGGGGGCCATACTGTGTGGTGCAAAGAGCACATAGTGTCCTTTGTATGCGAATTGGTTTGCTCGAGGTCGTTGTGCACACAAATATACATTGTAAAACATTGTATCTCCATATTGTGAAAGCTTGCAATCTGTCATGCAAATGCAACGTCTCATTTCAACTGACAAGTACATGATTTTTATCGTCCAAGCATTTTACAATATAACAACCATAAATTTCCCAAGTATACTAGGGTGGGAGGGTGGGAAACTTGAAATGAAAAACGTGGGGGAAGGCCTAATGGCCTTTGCCCCCTTTTTTTTAACAAAAAGAGGGGAAGTAGCGATTTGCCGAAGCATTTTGCTTCGGTACAGATATCTTCGCTATTCACAATACACAATTTTAAAAAGTGTTAACACACTTAAAAAAAATACATTTTAAAAGCATGGCGAACATCAAGGAATTATTACACACACTGGGACGGCTCCGAGCGATGTTTACAGGTTTGTCGAAATTCCGTTTATGTCGTCGAAGCATCCATAAGAATAGATCATATACATGGACGACAAGATGCTTCTCGGAATCGTCGAGACGTTTAACGCGTTTTACCGTAACATGTGACTGCATCAGATTTTGGCGGACATGCGACCGGATGACGTTGTCACGCCCGGAACTAAAAACGCGTTTCAAAGCGACCATCATGCGTTCGTGGGCAGCGGCGGATTGCGTCCCCCCAAAGTGGCGGCACATGTTTCTAATGGTTAGCCCTTTAGTGCTGGACTAGTTAATGAAGGAACTAGTGCGGTTGTAGAGACAGATCGAGCGGTACATTCCCCACTGTGATCGTTCATCCGCAGTGAAGTGCGTGTGCGGCGAAGTGGATTATCTTGTGTGTACGGACGCCGTGACTGCAGGAGATTTTCATCTCGGATGTGTTACCGGTGCCGAGCCTGAGTCGGCTCCTGGCTATTTGGACGTTGCGAGGAGCATTTGTCGTGTCATGCGCACGTTGTTTGGTGTGTTCGCAAAACGAACCTCTGACTCTGGCAAGGATCCGGTCGCCATTGTTTCAGACGCTGGCATCGCGAACGCAGAACTGGTGTCTCGTTTGCTCAGGACGCCCACGTACAAGAGGCGTAGTGTCGGAGAGTGAAGTTGTAGTAATAGCATGTGTTTGCATTGGCCACTACATGCAATTAGACCTTAGGGCGTGTGCTGGGATATGTGTCCTTTGGTGTTCCTGTAGTGTTCTAAACGAGAACGTCTCATCAGGCGGACATGTTTTGCAATGTAAGGTGGCGCTATTTGGCATGCTAAATCTTCTTAACTAATCAGATATGCAACGTACCCGGATTTCCGGTAACCGGCCCGGGCACCAGATCAATGGCTGAGGCGTACGGTTAGGTGTATCGAAGAAGTTTCCTGCATGGGTCTAATAAGCACCGCGCAGCACCTCCGACTTACCAAGATCCAAATTGGCTAGTCGGCGCACCCTAGGCAGACTAGCAAAGTACGCAACAACATTTGCATAAACTGTGCGATTCATGTCGGTTTCTTGTTTACACGCGACAGATTGCCTGCTCGGACAAAAGACTGAACGAGGCACACAACTGCTCACACGCCACCCAATGTGTTGACGTGGCACACATCGAGGGTACGTGTCCACAATCAGCGGACCTTTCGTGTACTATAGCACATATGGCTCATAATCCACGTTTGCTGATTCTTGTTCGCTGGGTTGCAATCAGCCATCAAAGAGGCATTGTGTCTCTTCTGTCACAAAACACACACCGTGTACGTTGAGGAGATGGTGGCATTAGGGTTTCACTTGTAGGACCGATGTTAGGCAACAAGTGCGATCCGTGCAACCTCGATTTCGCGGATGACAACGCGTTGCAGTTTCATGTTACTAAAAACACAGTTTCTCGTCAAAAGCTCAAACATATTTATATATATATATATGCGTCAAAGTTTGTCGCTGCTTATCGGCGCTTATTGCTATAGCAGGGTCGAAACCGCCAGCCTGTTCTCATGAGAGCTCCAAGGCCCCGCAGCGGTCGGACAACCATAAGCGACCTCATGTACAGCAGTCCGCCAGTACTAGCTTCGGAGGGGGACTGAGACGGCGCCCATTCTGATGTCACAAGGTCGATGACTGTTTCGACACATTACAGGGGTTTTATCTGCTCTTCCACAATGCAGACCTTTCAATTAGGGAAGGCTGGTGATCACGCTGCTGGAAAGGTCACTTGTTCCAACCGCCTCCGCCGTTGGCATTCTGGGGTCGGTTTTCACGACCACCAGAGCCCTCAGCACGGGGCTGCTGGTCTGGCTTTGCAGGACCATGGATGTATGTGCGAATGATGGTGTCAGTTTTGATCATCTGCTCCTTCATCTCCTTGTAAGTCGTCCAATTGGTCATGCCGCCGGTCATGTGTGCCTCTTGCAGGTTGACAGGGAGGCCTTTCATGAAGACGTGCATCATCTCCTCCTCAGACAAGGGCTTCTGGAGCGAGCGTGCTGCGGCCTCAAACTCGACCGCATATTTCTGCACCGAACGGTCATGACACTTGATACTCTCAAGGCGTCCGCGCAGTTCGATGTTGGACTTCTTGACCATGAATGCCTCTTTCAGCGCGGTGCAGAACTCCGGCCACCCAAATGGTCCCTGCGCCTGCTTCTTAGCGCCATACACTGCCCTGCGGGCCACCTCATCCAATGCACGAGTGGCTGCAGTAACGCGAGCCTCAGGACGCACATTCCCAAGGATCATGGTGTCATGCACCAGGTCAAGCCAAGGCTGCACCTCCGTCTCGCTATGGTTAAACTCAGGCAGAGGCGCCGAGAGAGACCCAAAGGGCGAGGTCTCGGTTGGAGGTGGCTAGTGCATAGTTGTCGCAGCGCCTACCGGCGTAGGTGCGGGCGAAGCAGGTGCCGGCTGAGCACCAGGAGCGGGCCTACGCCCAGGAGGAGGTTCATAAATACCCTCCCTCCTAGGATGGGTCAACTGCTCATTGAGCTTGTTGAATGATGCTTGCAGATTATTGCAAGTCTTCTGAAGCCACTCAATTTGGCGGTTTTTAGTGCCCAGGCTGCGACGGAACTCAGTAACCTCCTTCATGGTAATGCTCAGCCTAGCCTCGAGGTCCTGAGTGTGCTTCTTGAGTCCATCAATTGACGTCTGCTGCTGCAGGATGGTGATATTCTGAGTTGCCACTTTAGCCTGGAGTTGGACAATCTCCTCGGAGATAGGATAAGTCATGCCTTCACCCTCAGTGAAGTCATTTTCATCACCAGTGGCCTCCTTTCCACCGGTGTTATCCTCTTCCCCAAGGTTGTCAGCTTCACCATGGTTCTCAGCTTCACCATGGTTATGCTCATCTCTAAGGTCCAGATCCAAGTTCTCAATATCATCCAACTCAAGGTCAGCCATTGCCTCATCTTGATTGAGGTCAATCTCAGCAGCATTGTTCACCACCTCATTAGGTGCAGTGGGCCCTTCCTCCCTTGCTATATCCTTCTCTTGGCCAGATGCCATAAGGATTAAAGGAGATTGTAAGATCTGGGTTGATTCTGTCAAAGTCATTTTACCACCTCAATGGTAAAGCAAGAAATTCTTATAAAATAAATTTCTTCTACAGAATAATCCAAGGTTACCAAAGGTAACAGATTTGTTGTCAAGCACTCCCAATCACCGAAGTGAAAGGGCAGGATCTATCCAAATCTCAATAAGAGAACTTGTATAACCCTCAACAAATCCTCCAGATCCAAGTTTATACTCCACTACTCAACAGTAGAGAGTCTTCCACCAAAAGGTGGGCAAGAGAGATAAATCTCTCTTCTTAGCTTGAAGTTGCAGTTGTAGATCTTGTAGATCTTGAGCTCTTCAAGCTTCCAGATCTTGAGTGTTCTCTTAATGAGAAACCACAACTCCAAGATCTATATATATAAAAAAATCTCTAGGGGCAAAATCCCCTCTAGGCTTAGGATAACCTTAGCTATAGATACCAATGTAACAACCACGGCCCTTATAACAACGGGCAACCATGTGTTAAATATAAATCCTCCTTGACAAAATATGTAAAATCAAAATTACAATGCTTGAAATTATTTAACTAATCCCACCAAGGGATAACCAAGCCTTAAGCTAAGCTTGAAGGATCTTGAGAGGAGAAGTTGTAGATCTTGAAGAAACTTGAGTAGGTAGGTAGCTTCTTGTAGATTTTATCCTTAGGAAATCACAACTCTTGTTGTGTAGGAGAGCTTGTTTGGAGAACCCAAATTCTTAGAGAAATCCCATTTCCAAGTTAGATTATTGGAGTTGGGAAGTGGGAATGAGCTTGAGAGCTCCAACCCCTTCCTCAATACCCCTTAGGGCTCTTCCCAACCATGGTTTCCATGGTTGGGGAGCTAATAGGCTTGGAGCCTATGTGGCACTTTAGTTTGGGTGGGGAAAACCCAACTTAGCACAATTGTATGGTTGTTTTAAACTTTGAGTGGATTGTAACAACAACTGTCAACTTTCCATTGGTTGGAAATCCAACCTTGCACATTCATTTGGTTGTGTTGGAAAACTTCCCAATCTTCACTTTTGTTGGGTTGGAAAGTCCCAAGCCTCAAAGTTGAGGTTTGGAATACCAAGCCAACCTTTCTCTCCCAACTCAACCTTCAACTCCCGTAGTCCGATTTCTGTCGAGACATTTCTCGACCTAGACTAGGAAGAAGTTAGATGGTGCGTTAGGTGGTGCGTTACACTCCTCCCCCCCTAGGTGGCAACGTCCCCGTTGCCTTAGGGTGCTTCTTAGGACGAGCGCTACGAGCACGCCGTGTCACATTACGACCAGGGTCAACACCATCCACTGGTTGTGCGGCAGCTCGTCGGGCCAGATCTGTCATGTATGACTGAACTGCAGTTTCAGTCAGATGCTCTTCTGGTTCCCAAGAGTTGTGTTCATGCCCATATCCTTTCCACTTGATGAGGAACTCTCGTACTGTCTTGCGGCCGTGCTGTCGATCACGATGCATCAGCACTCGCTCGACTTCATAAAACAGTTCCTCCCCCAGGACGATCGTTGGTGGCGGCAAGTACTTGCCCTCTGCAACGTACTTGTTCAACAGAGACACGTGGAAGACGTTGTGAATCTGCAATGTATCAGGCAGCTTAAGCTTGTAAGCTACCACACCAACACGCTTGATCACCTCAAAGGGCCCAATCCATCGAGGGAACAGCTTTCGTGCTCCAGGGATTTTGAGACGAATGTTTTTCGTGCTCAACAAAACTTTGTCTCTGTTACGAATGGTAATGAAGGTTGCAGTGCACTCCCGACTGCAGCTAAAGAAGCACGCAGTATCGAGAACGAATGTGAAGAGTCAAGAGTTGACTCGAAACGTCAGACGGTTGGGATGCATCTGGACCGTCGGAAGCAGACGGCATCGGCAGCTGCAGGCAAGAGGAATCTGGGCGGGAACAGTTTCGTAACTGTACGCGCCGCACGGTTGGGAATGAATTTGAATAAGGGAATGTACCCCTTAGAGTACATGGCTAGCTAGGTCGATTCGTCTTCCCTGTACTCGTATTTATATTTGCTGTATTTGCATGTTTTAATCATCTAAAGCATTTTACATTCACTCTGCTATTGAGGTCAAGGGCCCACCACCACTAGAATAGAAGCGTGCAAACCTTCCTGAGGTGATCCTGGTTACGATCAATATCTGATCGCAGCATGGTATGAGAGCGACTCAGGAATCCTTCGTACTGCCATCTCCGAAATTTACGACATTCGGAAAGTGGCGTCCGGCACACGATCGCGTGTGAGAATGGCCGGAGGATCTGGTGGTCAGACGAATCTGACGGCTGAAGCGCAGCCCAATCCGGCTGCGACAAACGAGGAAACGACGACAATCCCTTCCGCCGTCCCCGCACAACTTCTTCAGCGACTCACCAGCCTGGAGCAAGGGCTCCAAACATTGCGGAACGGCGACGCGGGAACATCCTCGCAACCCTCTCAACCGGCCCCAAGCGGCCAGAACGCCGCCCCGCACACTTTCTCCCTCGACACGAATGGCTCAAGCCCCAAAGCTCCCTGTCCTAGTGAAGAGGCAATTGTCTCTGCGCAATCAAGGTTTCTCAGCATATCAAAAATAAAGACAAGTACATGTTTTGACGGCAGAGATTTCTATACCTGGAGCTTCGAACTGGAGCTCCTGCTGCAGAACGCTCAAATCTTCCATTATTTTGACGGCAGCTACGCGGAGCCTGCTGAGGACACCGACGACTCCCGGACTCACTATTACAACGAGTCCCTGATGGCGTACGGAATCCTCCTGCGCAACATGTCGCCGGCGGAGCAGTTGAACATCCGTTCGTACAAGACATCGGCTGCTCCAGCCCTCGAAGCCTGGCGCCACCAGAACGGTGTGTATCAGCCGAAGGACTCGGTCTCGTCGAGCAGGCTACTCCAGCAGTTACTGGAGACCAAAATGACCTCAGGGGAGAAGGTCAACAACTACATCAATCGCTGTCGGAGCCTTCGCGACCAGATCGCGGCGCTGGGAAGCTCGATCTCGGAGGAAATCTTTGTGAGCATCGTGCTTCAAGGGCTCGGCCCAGAGTGGCGGCCCTGCAAGGCGCTTCTCCGACAGCAGGGGGTCATCTCGGAGGCCGCCCTTTGCGCCGCCCTTCTCGTCGAACGACGGGATATGGATCAGCAGCGACCAGCGCCACGACGAGAACAAGAATGGCTCGCCTTCTACGCCGACAACAACGAAGAGCGACGGCCGCGGCGCCTCTACTGCAAAATCTGCAGAAGCTTCAGGCATTTGGCGGATCGATGCAAGTCCCGATCTCGCCCTCGCCAGACCAATCCGAGCAACTGGTCCGGCCGACAAGACGCACGAGGCGACGTGTGTCCAGCCCAGGGGTATCAACCCCCACCCGCGCGCAATCTGAACCCAGCCGTTCAGCATCAGCAGCAGCAGCCGTCATCGACTGCCCCTGTACGCAATGCCATGAGCAACATGGCCATGATAAGCGAGTCGCGTCGTCGCCGCGTGCGCTCACCCTCACCTGAGCCAGCACCGCACCCCATTGGCGCGTTCACCAACAACAACCCGTTCAGTCCGCGCCGCGACTTCACCGACGACGACGATCAGGACTGGAACCTCCCAGTCCCGCTGCTTGAAAGTCCCCCGCACATACCAGACATGCGGGTGGCGCCACTTGATTGGCTCTCGCGCGAGCAATTTTTGAAGTTCGACACCCCGCACATCGTCACGCCGCGACTGGCGCTGCTCGCACGTGACGACAACAAGCGCTACAACGCTTGGTACCTGGATAGCTGCTGCGGCCAGCACATGGTGGGCTCCGAGCATTACATATCCAACGCCGTCGCCACCCCCACAGTGACTTACGTCACCGTGGCTAACAACACTCGCCTGCGCGCAAGCGCGCAAGGCATCGTCGTGCTCAAGGCACGCGGAAGCCGCACGCACATCACGCTCAACGATGTGCTGATCGTCCAGAACCTGCGCTTCAACCTACTTTCCGCCGCACAGCTCATGGACTGCGGCGTCGACCTCAGCACGGATCGCGCGACACGCGACATTCTGCTGCACTATGAATCAAGGAACTTCCCCTGCAGGCAGATCGGCAGAGCGCACTCCGAAAATGGAGTGTACGTCTTCGATTTCGACATTCCCGACTGCAGCGGCGATTCGCACGAGTTAATCAATCTCGTGCCACCGCGCTTCGAGCACATTCACCCCAGGGACTGGAAGCACCCTGATGGAAGACCGTGGGTGCCGCATCACCCCCATCCACGCGAAGTGGCGCTGCATGACCCTGACGCAGATGGCATCTGCAGAGACTGCCACACACCAACGGCGTCAACAAGCGCAATCGCCGGCCGCGGACTCGCCGCCATCGCCGAAGCCGAGCGCCACGCACCGCCAGAAGAAGGAATGTCACAGCTCGAGCTCGAGGTCACCACTCAGTGCGTGTTTGGCACCGACCAAAGCCCTCACGCCGGACCACCCTCTCAGCGACTCGAAGGCATCCTGCGCGGACAATGCCGCGGAACTTTCGACGCGCGCGGAGTCGCGCGCCCCTACACCCGCGACGAGTTCCTGAAAGTCTACCCCCTCTGGCGCGACCCCACGACAAAACTTACCGTGGAACAGGAGGAAGAGAGCGCGCGCCACGAAGCTGGGGAGCTTCGCAGACAAAGCCTTGCCGAAGCACGCGGGACATTCGCCTGCGGTGCATGGGGAGCCGAAGAAGAGGAGAGCGCCTCCAATGAAGGGGGGTGGAGCAGCGCTGGCGGATGGGGAACGAGTGACACCGGCGGATGGGGAACCACCGGTGGAACCTGGGCCACCGCAAACGGCGGATGGGGCACTACTGGCGACGACGGCAGCGGCTGGGGGACTTCCCGCGAAGACCAAAGGCGGGGGGAAGAAGCTGACGCAACACCTGCAGTTGTTCCCCTTGGTCGTCCCCCGCACCGTGCTCCACCCGTGTTACCTCCACCTGACATTCCG